TCCTGAGGGAGCCAACGGGGCTGCCTCTGTCTGGATGTGTCCTCCAGGCCCAGCGATCCCCGGCTGCTTTGCTTCCTCCCAGGGGTATCTCCCCAAGGCCATAAGTTACGGTGTGGACAGCCCCAAAGCAGCAGCCATGGGGGCTTAGATGAATCCCAGAGAATCATCAAGGTGGGAAAAGATTTTGATGGTCGTGCAGTCCCACCAGCACCCCACACTGCCATCATCACCCCAAAACCACATCCCTAGGTGCCACCACAACACTTCCAGAGATGGCGAATCCACCACCTGGGCAATTTCTTCCAGTACCTGACCACTGTGACAGGGAAAACTTGTTCTAATATTTGATCTGAACCTCTCCTGCTGGAATGGAAGGCTGTTTTCTCTCATCTTGAAAGGATTACATGCTGGTCCTATGGGATTGTGCCCATGAGGAATGGGCACACACAGGAGGCATTTCTCCAGGGATGTGTCACAGTCCTGCAGTGACAAATGATTCTTCCAAAACAGTGAAGGTAGAATTTAAGAAACAGTACTAGTAAGAAAAAAGGACCACAGCCTTCCCACTCGCAAAAACAAACAAAAAAACTCCAACAAAACAAAATCCCCAAAAACCAAAAAACAACAAAAAACAGAAAACAAAAATAACAAAAAAAGGGAGCAAGAATAAGAAAATTTTGCAGAACTAATAGTAGTAAATAAGAACAAGAAAAGGAATAAGAATGATAAGTTAAACAAGAATGATGAGAAGAAGAAGATAAGGAGAAATAGTAGTAGTAGTAAGAAGAAGAAAATAATAGAGCAAGAAGAAAAATATATTGTAGCAGTAAATAATAAGAATAAGAAGATAAGAAGATGAAACGGTTGTAGAAGTAAATAATAGTATCAAATTAAAATAAACACCCACTCAACCACAGAATGAAGGGAAGGACCTTAAGGTCCTCTTGTTCCAACTAGTTATCTTCTGCTCTCTCTCTGAGACTTCTTTCCTCTTTTTTCTACTGCTCTACCTCCCCTTTCTTGTCACATAAAATCCATGGTAAATAAAATCCATATGTTGTCCTCATACGGCCTCCTTTGCACCTGCATTTGGGCAGAGGCCTCTCTCCCTCATGGGTTTGTAACACCTGCTCAGGGTCCCTTCCAGCCGCGAGCATTCCGGGATTCTGTCAGCTCCTCTCTTCCCTCTTCTTCTTGCCTCTGCTTTGAGCTGGGAATGTGCTTGAGAATGTCCAGCCGAGAAGCCTTTGCTGTCTGCTCTGGGAGCCCATGTGGCTTTGGGACCTTGTCACCTGCACCTGCACAGCTCCCTCGAGAGGCAGAACCAGCGCCCCGAGAGCCTCGGGAATTCTCCTCTGTGGTCCATGTGGCATACACTGCAATGGTTTGGAATTCCAGTTTCCAGCAAGGAAAAGATGTTCCTGCCCTTTAAGGCAAAGCTCTGAAGGGGCTGCAAGCCAAGTGGAGCAAGATCTTGCAATGACATTGCATGACCAGCTTTCATAACTTAATCAAGGGTTGTTTTAGCACCTGGATTGGTAAGAAAAATCAGGCGAGGGTCTTTGCTTGGGAGTTGCCACAGGTAAAGACAGACACTATGGAAGAAGCAGAGCAGGCACCTGCCCCATACTCACAGCAAACCCCTCTACCTCTGGGAAATGGGGTGCCCCCTCCGTGTCCTCCCTATCCTCCAGTGTATCGGACACCCACTCCAAGCCCTTCTATCCCAGGCACCAGGCTCTCGTCCCAAGTCCTTTTACCCCAGGGGCTCCGGGTGCCTGAACTCTGCTACCTTCGGTGGCAAAACGAACTCACCCTGGGCCCCTTTACTCCAGAGCACCAGGAGCACATCATGAACTTGTCGTATCCCCAGGGGCTCATCCCAACCCCTCTTACCCCCGGGAGCACCGGGTGCCCACCCAAGCCCGTCTCCCCCTTCCGTCCCTGGCCCAACGGGCGCTCACCGCCGCCACGCAGCGGGGCACGGCGGGCCGCGTTCGCCGCCTGGCAACCGCCCCCGCTGGGCAGCAGCCAGAGCCGGCGCCGGGCCGAGCATGCGGCCGGGGCCGGGCCCCTTCTCCACCGCCCTGGGGCGGGGACTGCGCCGTGGGCGGGCGGGGCAGCGCGGCACGTCCCAGGGCAGCGCCGGTGCCTGCGCCGGCGCCCGCGGGTCGTGCGAGAGCCGTGCGGGGCTGCGGCCGCCGCTCCCCGCCGGGCGCGCCTTGGACCCGTCCGGAGTCGCGGCCCCATTATGGTCAGCCATGGCGTGGCTGCCGGGCGGGCTGGCCGAGCTGCGCTGGGGCGCGCTGGTCGCTCTCTTCGTGGCGGCGCTGGCCACGCTGGCCGTGTACCTGGTGCAGTACGCGCTGCTAGCGCTGCGGAGGGGCCGCCCGCCGCCGGCCCCCGCTCCGCCGGTGCAGCGGGACGAGCTGCTGGAGGAGGGCGGCTCGGTGCTGGCCTGGGCGCTGTCGCGGGGCAGCTGGAGGCGGCAGTGGCGGCGGGCCTGGGTGGCGGCGCTCCGAGCCGAGGCGGCGGAGCGGGCGGTGAGTGCCGGGATGCAGGTGATGGATGGAGGGAGGGAAGGGACCGGGGATGGCCGGCGGCGGCTCCCCCGCGCCCGCCGGGACGGGGCCGGCACCTCCCGGCCACGGGGCATAGCGCCGGGACGCGGCTCCGGGCGCTCCCCGCTGTAGGGACTTGCTGCAGGGATGTGCCGGGTGTGTGACTGACCCTCCGTCTACGTTTGAATATTTACACGTGTGCGTTCGGTGGCTGCTTGGCAGGGATTGCAGCAGGGAGCCGGCCGGAGGCGCGGAGTGGGAGCAGGGAAGGATGGGGAGGAAGGAAAGCCCCGACCCCCGCAGCCCCTGGCAGGGGTTCGGTCCGCCGATAACATTGTTCGGGCGTGGGGAGGAGGAAACAATGGAAACTTCCTGGCCTGGGCCTGGGGCCCGTCCTTCGGCAAATAATTCCCAGAGCTGGGCTTCCCCCGCCATGCCTCAGGCCCTGCTGTGTGTGCTCTAACTCCGGGAGCTGGTGGCTCCGAGCCCGCTGGGTGCTGGATGGGATGCTCAGGGTTTGGTCAGGTTGCCTGTACCCGGGTCAGGGAGGATGTACAAAACGCGGGGTTTCTTCCCATGCTAACGTGCCCTTCCTGGAAAAGGTGCAATGTGGCATCCTGCGCGTTGGTGTGTGTTGGTATGCCCGATGAGGTGAGGAGGTTAAGTGAGGCTGTGGCAAGCTGGTTTCCTTGTCCTGAGGACTGAACCCTTGTCGTGTCAGTGCAAAGTGCTGAGGATAAATTCTAGGAAGTGGCATTGGCATGTCAGTGCAAAATGCTGAGGATAAACTCTAGGAAGTGGCACGTCCCCAGCTCTCTGAATTTGCGTGCGTCCCAGACCGAAGAGGTTCCTTCTTACATGTCAGAGAGCAGGCTGGGGAAGAAGGAAGAATGGGGCAACATGTGTGTGTGAAAGATAAGGAATAAAAATGAACACTTCCCAAGTATCATTGTAAGTTGGGCAGTAGAAAGAATGTATTTTGTGCACCCTTTGAAATCATGTAGTGTGGTTGAGAAATGAGTGGGCTGTGCTAAGAAATGAAGGTTGGTGGAAGAGAAGGGTCCGGACAGCTTGAGCACAGGTGCTGGAACTGAAAGTAACCAGCCACAAGTGACAGCTTCCTGTCCCTGAGCAGAGGGCTGAGCCACTTGAAGGGACAGGGACAGGCACACTCTCCTTGCCCAGGTGAGAGCTGGAGCCGGGAGTTCAGCGCCTGGCACTGCAGCGTGGTGTTGATCCCGCTGTCAGCCTCCCAAAACAATGTCAGCAGCACAAAGCTAATGAAATTCCTGTGTGCAAAACAACCTGGGGTGATGAGGGAAGCGGGGCTGAGTGCTCCGTGTGGGTAGCAGGTGAAGAATGCAGTGCTGATGCTTCTGACAGTATGACCTCAGTGCCCAAGGCTGCCTTGCTTGCTGTCTGTGTGAAGATTGAGTGGCTGTCATCACTGTCTGCCTCCACTGATGAGGTGGGCTGGGCAGGGGAAGGCTTCTTTCCTCACCTCTGCAAGATGATATTTGGGGTTTCTTAGTTTTGGCATAGCCTACTGCAGCCCTATTAGTGGGCCAAACCAAACACGCCTTTTCAAACTGCAGCACTGATAAATCTTTGCTGAAGAACAGCAGTTTAGCTGGACTCTGTTGTTGTTCATGGACTTGGCTCTGCACTGTGTACCTTGATATTCTACTACAGGGAAAGATGAGTTATGATTAGGCCCATAGTTATGTCCTAAGTATATGTTTTCAGGCTCTACCCTGTATTATGTAGTGAGGTGTCATGCAATTAATGCATGGAAGTTTTGACATACATTTGCAATTCCAGAAACTTGACTGGCAGTGCATTTTTATCGCTTGTTTTCAAGTGATGGGTTCATCACCTAATGATGCTTCTTTTTTTTTCTTGTTAGGATTCTCAGTTGCTTACATTTGAGGAAGATGACCCAGCAGAACCACTTGAGCTAGCAGTTAAAGAAGTTACCAGCATTGTAAAGTCAGCTGGAGAGAAGGTAAACTTTGGATTTGTTGCCTTTCTGTGTAC